AGAGTTGTTCCAAGTTGTTCTATGCCAGTACGTAATTGTTCTATAGTTTGGGACCGCTATCGCAACTTTAGCGAGCAAAAAAGATGAAAAAACAAAAAAAATGTGTTTATTTCCAAGAGTAAAGTACTCTTTAAAATAATGTTCCAGCAAAACTGAGAGTTGTTCCAAGTTGTTCTATGCCAGTACGTAATTGTTCTATAGTTTGGGACCGCTATCGCGACTTTAGCGGGCAAAAAAGATGAAAAAACAAAAAAAATGTGTTTATTTCCAAGAGTAAAGTACCCTTTAAAATAATGTTCTAGCAAAACTGAGAGTTGTTCCAAGTTGTTCTATGCCAGTACGTAATTGTTCTATAGTTTGGGATCGCTGTCACGTCGTTATCGGTCGAAAAACACAAAAAAACAAGAAAAATGTGTTTATTTCCAAGAGTAAAGTACTCTTTAAAATTATGTTCTAGCAAAATTGAGAGTTGTTCCAAGTTGTTCTATGCCAGTACGTAATTGTTCTACAGTTTGGGACCGCTATCGCGACTTTAGCGGGCAAAAAAGATGAAAAAACAAAAAAAATGTGTTTATTTCTAAGAGTAAAGTACCATTTAAAATAATGTTTTAGCAAAACTGAGAGTTGTTCCAAGTTGTTCTATGCCAGTACGTAATTGTTCTATAGTTTGGGACCGCTGTCACGTCGTTATCGGTCGAAAAACACAAAAAACAAGAAAAATGTGTTTATTTCCAAGAGTAAAGTACTCTTTAAAATTATGTTCTAGCAAAATTGAGAGTTGTTCCAAGTTGTTCTATGCCAGTACGTAATTGTTCTATAGTTTGGGACCGCTATCGCAACTTTAGCGAGCAAAAAAGATGAAAAAACAAAAAAAATGTGTTTATTTCCAAGAGTAAAGTACTCTTTAAAATAATGTTCCAGCAAAACTGAGAGTTGTTCCAAGTTGTTCTATGCCAGTACGTAATTGTTCTATAGTTTGGGACCGCTATCGCGACTTTAGCGGGCAAAAAAGATGAAAAAACAAAAAAAATGTGTTTATTTCCAAGAGTAAAGTACCCTTTAAAATAATGTTCTAGCAAAACTGAGAGTTGTTCCAAGTTGTTCTATGCCAGTACGTAATTGTTCTATAGTTTGGGATCGCTGTCACGTCGTTATCGGTCGAAAAACACGAAAAAACAACAAAAATATGTTTATTTCCTAGAGTAAAGTACTCTTTAAAATTATGTTCTAGCAAAATTGAGAGTTGTTCCAGGTTGTTCTGTTCGTTTTTAGCTAAAATATACAGTTTGGTGTTTAAGAGATAATAACTATAGCCGAAAACGTAAAAATACTGTTTTAGCGCACGAAACTATTTTTTTATTATATCTCGTGAAATATTTTGTTTAGGGAATTATCACTTTGGAACAATGTTTAGAACAACTAGAACAATCTGGAACAACCTTTAAAAGTTCGATTTTCGAAAAATGGGGGGCCAGGTCAAAAAATCGTTTTTTTCCATTTTTCGCGAAAATTTTTATTTTTTAAATTTGATCTTTTGGAACAATTTAGAACAAGTCTAGAACAACCTGGAACAACCTTTAAAATTTTAAAATTCGAAAAATGGGGGGCTAACTTCATACAGGCCACTTTTATGCATATTTATATGTACATATATAATTTAAAAAAAAATAATTTAGCTATTTTTATATGTTCCCTTAGCTTGGCTATATTAATGATTCGTGGGAAAGGTAAAAATAAAATTAGAATTAGGTCACAGATCACGTTAAGATTAGATGTAGCATGCGCCTTGTTAGTATCAAAAGAGTTTCTATACTGCATTTTCCATATTCTTTCATTTTTTTCCCGTATGTAGAGATGTTCTTAAGAAAATGCATGCAGACTTTTAGACGCTAAACCACTTTGGGAAACATTTATAGACGTCGAGGCACTTTGAGAAACATTTATAGCCATCGTTTATTTCGTTTGTCTTCATTGTTAGTTAGATAAGCATTAATGATAAATCATGTGTTACGTAAATATTGCTGTTTTTATCGGGACAACGAAAATGTGAGTGCTAAATATAGGTTTTTGATGAATAAAGAGAAGACTGTGACGACATGAATTTATAAGTATATAAATAGATTGATAGCTTCCACTTCCGTTGAAAGCTTCAAAGTAGCAATAAAAATTAATAAAAATAAATAAATAAATAAAAATTAATAAAAGGGATAATAGAAAGTAAAATGCTTTCCATGTCGATTGTGCAGTTGGTGAAAGGCCTCACATTCTCATTCTATTTCCCCAACATGACCCCTTTCCAGAGCATCATGACGAAGAAAGCATCTTATCTCGCATATCTGTCTTTCAACTTTATGCTGTTGTACCTGCATATAAATACTATTACATAGGGCTACAACAAATGATAAAAACGTAAAACTTTCAAAAATGACTTTCAAAAACGACTTATTTCTGCATAAAAAGTGTAGTACATAATAATAATACTAGTAATGAAGTAAATAAAAATTTAATAATAATTAAATTATAATTTAATTAAGTAAATAAAAAGTAAATTACATATTTTATGTTTTACTAGCCAAATATAATAATAGTATTTTTATTTTTGTCTGAAGTGGTAGAAAAATCATCAAAATTTATTTCAAAAGTATCAAAATAAGTTTTTTTTTATAGTTTAAGTAGTTTATTTTTTTCTTATAATTTTTTTCATTAAAAATTATATTTTTCTTAAATAATTCAGAAATGCTAAATAAAATATAACAATATAAATATGGCAAATAAAATTAATAAAAAATTTTAATGTGTCTAAATAAATAAATAAATATTGTTGAAATAATTGTTTTGTGATAACTGCTAAATAATTTGAGATACGAGAAAAATATAACAAGGCTTTATTTATTATGTGTTATAGATAGAGAACCTGATTAAAAAAAAAGAAAGAAAAAAAAAAGACATCTGAAATAAAGCAATCTTATGTCTCAGAAATTGTTGAAACAGATAAAAATTGAGATTTCTGTTATATTTTATATATTTAATTCTGTATATAAGTAAAGAATGATATCACGAAATATGTAGTTGTTAATAAAGATTCAATGGTAAAAGAATTCTTAAAGATGATAACAGTATCAACTACTGTAATATTGTTGAGATAAAAATAATCTAGGACAAAACAATTTGATTATTAATTTGGAGACTTAATATCTGGTGCAGAATTTAATGAATCATCGGTCCATATCTTTTTGATGATATTCAAGCATAAATAAACGCAATATATTTTCAAAACAAAATACCAAAACTTTTTCAAAAGATTAAGTTTCTCAGTATATTAGATAAATAGTTTTTCTTTATTTCAGTTTATTTCCAAGAAATAAATATTCCGCAAACTTTACAATGCATTATATTTCTCAGTATACTAAAATAAATGATATTCTATCATTTGCATTAAAAACAAGAAAACATTTTAATATGCTCGAAAATTAATAGATTAAATATGATGAATTAATAAATTAATTTTCCAGTTTAACAATGTTAGGCTTCTTTTTGTGGGAATATATAAAAATATCATTTATCCAGCTGCACTTATGATTAAAGTAATTATTTGTTTTGATTGTACAGCTTCTTTGAAGAGAGAATTATCGATACATGTGCTGTCAAAACAAATGATTATTCTTGCAATCCATTATTCATCTCATAACAATGTTTAAGAACTGGAAATTCCTTCACTTCTGTGACTTTAGATTGCTCCACGATCACTTCAAATGTCTATTGACTTCAAATGTCTATTGACTTTGTCTCTCTCTGTTCTTTCATGATATTTATATAAAAATATATTATTTCATTTAAAAATATATTTCTTATAATCTTGAAAAATTAAGAAAAATTAATATTATTAGATTTTATATAAAAAATAATTAAAAAGTTTTCTCTTATATATCTCACATCTTCTATTATTTAATAATTATTTCAAATGATATTTATCTAGAAACATCCTACATGTATATGTAACTTATATATAAATTATATCATATGTATTTAAGACTTTTTGCACAATATCTATTGTTTATAAAATGTTAAAATAATTAATAATAAACTTTTATGTTTTAATGAAAGTTTTTGATAGCAGCGAACAAGTAATAATTTTTTTCTAATCTTTTATTTAATTATTTATTTGTTCTACTATCTAGTTTACTCTTATAATTTATTTTTGTTAAATATTAAAAAATCATCTTAAAATTAAACATTTTAATATAAATAACTAATAGAACTTTTAAGATAAATTTTCTCTATGTTTCTACCACTTTAAAAGAATAAAAATATCATTATATCTGTTGTTTATAATTCAAAAATCATAAAATTATATAATTTATATTATGCTTTTTATAAACACCAGAAATCGATTCTTTTTTTCTCTCTGATTTGATTTTTTCTTTGAAAAATAATATAATTTTAACTCGAAGAAAGCATTTTTTACAACTGAGAGAACAATTAAAAATAGCATTTATAAATATAGACATTTGAAACATTTATATAAACCTATCCAAAATAAATCCTCAAATATTTATGAATCAATATTAAGTGCGAATTATTTCAGAAATAAAAAATTTTTTTTTTTTAATTAATTGACTTTTCTCCATTTTCTGCACTTAATATCTCTAACATTTTTTATATTGGATAAAAATATATATATTCAGGAAAACCACAAAAAAATTATGCAGACAAAATTATTCACACTATTTCCAAATTACAACCATGTTTGTGAAATATGACACATGTTATATGAACATTTTCTATATTTTGTCCCTTGTCCCGCCCTTAAAGTGCGTTCCACATGTTATTTATGAATACCTTTTGTATAGATAAGTAATAATATACACTGCATTTGAAAAAAAGCTTGAAACTTAGATTTGCACACTTGAAAAAGGGAAGAAAAATATTATAGAAAAATAAATAGAAAATGTTATCGAAGAGTGCAGAGACAATAATAATTCATTTTTGCCGATACGCACCTTTTTTATCGTTCTTTCTTTCGTCGAGACTCTGAAATCACGGCACTTCTAAATTTCCTTTTTCTCTCTCTCTCTCCTTTCCTCTTTTTTACATGCATGCGTCAAATGATCGGCAACAGCAGCTGCGTTTCCTTTCCTCGCCCGAGTCTTCTTTCCGCACTTCCTCTCTCTCTCTCTCTCTTTCTTTACTTCCGCACTTTAATGAATTTATCCCCGCTGCCCGTTCGAAGCTCACATTTTTCACGTCGTCACCGAAACCTCGAGCGATCGCGTCTAAAAAGTCACTCTCGTTCGCGCACTTGAAATAACTCGCGCACGGCCTGCTCTTTATTCGATTTGCATACTTGCATCGTATTTACCGAAAGGGACTGTATGTTCATCGCCGTTCGTCGTAACTTCGTCGCGAACGCGGCGCGAGACGCAGAGAGACGCGAGAGTTTGACAGCTCGGCGTTTGACAGGTGGCGGCGCCTGGCGGCACGCGTGCGAAGCTCCGTTTGACAGCTGTCAAATGCGACTGGCGGTCGACTAGGGAGTTTTCTCGGGCTCCCGGGAATTTTTCTATCCAACAGCCAATCGCGTTTAAGGGTCGGCAGGCGACATGGTGGAGACGCCTATCGGCCGGCCGGGAATTAGAGATTCTTATATTCCAGATATTAGCGAAACTACTGAATGAATCTTATTAAATTTATGATATTCTTAATCAGTAAGCTCAAATGCAGTCCGCCAAAGAGTTATTTATTGAAAAAAAGATGAAAATAAAATTTATAATATAACTTGGGGGAATGCGCAGCTAGTAACGGGTAAGGTTGGGTTAGCCAGGAGTCCGTATTTTATTTATTATAAATTTTTCAGAGCAAAAATGCAAAATCCGACTCTTTGGCGGACTACTTTATTATATCAAGAATATATTAAAAAAAAAAACCAAAGTTATGTCACTTATTTTATGAAATATCTGGACTATAAGATTCTCACTAGATTCATAAGGAGCAGGGGAAATTTCCGTGGTAACATACTGACAGCTAACAGCTTGACAAGGAGAGACTATCATTCTGTCCTTGTCTCTCTTACATCGCATATGTAGTAACATCCATGTAGACACAAACACTAATGCGTTGAACGAATGCGATTATTGGGAGATATCAGCAAGAACCGGTTTTCGTATTATCATTGTTTCTCTGTATATGTATATTATATGTAAAAGAACAATAAGAATAGCAATAATTCTTGCCTAACATTATCTTCCAATTATCGTTTCGTGTACGCAATATATATTTCACATTATGCATCCCATACAGCACAGATTATTGCAATTATATTGCAGCAACGTTGCAATGTTGCAAGTTGCAATGCAACATTATAAAGACATTGCAGAGATATAGGTGCACAAAATTCCAGCACACTTGTAGCAACATGACATTAATATTTCGGAAATATTGCATGTAATCCAAATTCTATAATTTATATATTGTAATATATATAAATTAACTACAACGTATTTTCATTAATGATTTATTTACATTTATATACCTGTATATGCAATATTAGTTTATGGTTGCAATAACAATGCATTATTGCAAATTCATAACATTGCAATATTGTTGTAATATTTTGTTGCAATCTTTCAAAAAGCGGACATTTTAACATTGCTGCAATTCAACAGCAATGATGTAGCAACATTTTGCAGTAAATTTGCAATATTGCAATATTGCGGTGAAAGATTGTTGTAATGTTTTTGCAATCTATCGGTGCTGTATGGGATCTGTAACAAATAATCGAATGATTTATTTAAATATTTGCATATAATCTATATAAATCTATATAATAAATAAAATGTGTAATAAATTATCGAATGATTTATTTAAATATTTGCATATAATCTATGTAAATAAAATATGTACAAATAAAATAATATTTATGCAAATATTATTTTATTTGTGTACATATTTTATTTATATACCCAAACAACACCAAGTCCAAAATTGGCGCGTAAGATATCTTTAAGATGTCTTTTTGATATCATATCATAAAATAGCTGTCTTAAAGATTTCTTAATGCTATCTTATGCGTCAATTTTAGACTTGGTGCTGTCTGGGTAGATAATATGCAAATTAATATGCAAATAATAAATCATTCGATATAATTTGTTACAGATGCATAATGCGAAATACATATATTGCGTACACGAAACGATAATTGAAAGATAATGTTAGGCAAGAATTATTGCTATTCTTGTTCTTTTACATATGTGTGTGTGGGTGTGTGTGTGTTTACAAAAATGTAGATTATTTCACATAATGTGTTTCAAATTATTATGATTTATATAATTGTAAATAAATCTATATAAATAATTAAATATTTATGTACAAATAAAATAATATTTATAAATATTTTATCTATCGAACCTCTAAAGACTTTGTATTAGTAGTATAAGGAAACGTGCAAAAAATATTTTCAATTTTTTAATTTAGTTTTTTCAATAAACTGTTTATAGGTTCGACCTTTTATATATTTTTTATATAAACTACAAGAAGTTTTATTTTGAGCCGTCGTAGCACTTTTTATCACATCCCAATTTAAAGCTATATATTTTACGGAAAAGTATCTAAAATGCCCTTTTTTGCATCTTTAGATCAAGATATCTAAAAAACGTGACGTGATACGCAATTTTTGCGGCCGAATTTGTAATCGGCATGAAAAAAATCTACAAAAATACGCTTTGGAAATCTTCGAACCTGAAAAAAGTCATTTTTTGTCGACCAGTGTTATTGATTGAAGCATAGCACAAACTGAACATTTTATATTGTATACATTGTCTGCATAATATTTTACTTATTTATAAAATATATAATATATAAGTTTATATATATGCACACACATAGATATGACAATAGCGTTATCGTGATTTTTTTCGATTATTGAAGTTGTATTGTATAATCTCTCTCTTATCTCTTTCTCTCTGCTACATAAATACTATTATAACGTAAAAGAACTTACGAGTAACGTATGATGGCTCAATGCAATAATATTCAATCACGTAAAAAACTTGAGTTTAAATATATCAATATCAATTTTTTTACAATATATTAGAATATAGAAAAATTATAGAAATATAAGGCGATAAACTTGAAAATTTTTAAATATTGAAAATATTTTAATCATTTTTACAATTACATACACTATATATATATATAAATGCAAAATAAGTCCGTAAATAAATTTATCAAGTAATAAATCCGTTGCATGCTTGCAGCTACATATGCATACACAAATAGCTGGTATGTTGATTTTTATTAAAAATTTATTTTCTGTATTATTTTGCATTTATATAGTGTGTATGTGGGTGTGTGTGTGTGTGTGTGCGCGCGCGCGCGCGCGTGTAGTAAAAATATTTTCAATATATTTATAAAATTTTTATTGCCGAAATATATTTTTTTATCATTTCTCTGTATTCCAATATATTATTAAAAATTGATATTGATATATTTGAACTCTAATAATTTACTGGGTGATACATACTGAACATCCTTTGCATTGATCAATATTACTCGACATAAGTTCTTTTATGTTATAAGTATTTATGGAGCAAATTATACAATAACATCAATAATAGAAAAAAAATCAAGAATAACCAATGCATATTCGTCAATCTATGATTGCTATACAAGCTAATAATAATTTATATTCGTTCTCTTATTCTTGTCTCTCGAAAAAGTATAAGCAATAAATTATCAAATCTAACAAGTACCCGTGTCTAACATTGTAGACTAATTTACTTTCAATTATGCTACTGTTATTATTTATCATTAGACAATTATAAACATATATATATATAGCACTACAAATTATATATGTATATGTTTTATAATTTATTTTATATTTTATTATTTGACAAGTTAAATCTCTCCGAATCATAATTTGCGCTTACATCTTAAAGACGAAATGCTGTAACTCTCTAATATTCCAATCTGTATTTTTGAAAAGGACCACATCCCGTATGGTCGAAACGTTAAAATAAATATATATACAACTTTAATTTGAGGCCAGTGTAGTCAGACCAAATCTATAACCTCTGTTTTATAATTGTCTAATGATAAATAATAACAGTAGCATATATAATTGAGAGTAAATTAGTATATTTTATATATATATATATATTTATATATAAATAATATATCCACATATGTGCATAAGCATATATAAAATTTACAAAAATGGGTGCTTATTAGTCTTGCTACGTTACTGCTTTCTGCTACGGAAGGCCAGAAAGCATTTTCAGGCGGCATCTCGCGTATACCGGCACGGTAGTGGAACAAGGAGAACACGTGATTATCGGTCCTTGTCTCTCTTACGTGCGTCCGCGTGAGCGATGCAGTGGTGTATGTACGTGTACAGACATACACCACTACATAAAACCCGAGAATTGGTTTCTCGGCGTTGGCAACACTGAAACCGGAGTTTCGCGTTGTCACCGCACGAGGTCTCCAATATCAATTCGGAGTTTGCCTGGGTGTACTGCCGACCCTTAACATTTCGCGTTTCCTCTCTCTCTTTCTCTCCGATTCGGAGCCACGATTTTATTTATGCGGGGAGTCACAAGGCTTTCGTGGTCAGGTTGCGGGTTACGAACGACGACGATGATGATGACAAGCGACCTTCGGAAATTATTGTGGCGTTGACGAGAGAAGCGAGGGTAGAAGAAAATGAAGCAGTCGCGCGCGGCGTGTTTTTTCGTACCTTTGTATTTATCAGGGTGAAGGTTCAACATTTGTGTGTGTGTGTGTGTTTGCATTTTGACAAAGAGCCGAGGCTACTTGACAGGTGGTTATTGTACTTGTCACACCTGTTCGTATCAATCCCCTCGCGCGTCCGCCGTGTTTCTTTAACCTCGCGCGATTTTAATCGCCGTTATTCCTCGCTTTAATTATGTTCGCCACCTTGAAGAACAAGATACGCGAGGAAATCGGCAGTGACGTGTCCTCCGTTATCAGGAATGCCGGGAGTATACGCGCCATAAATTCCAAACATGTGTCTCAGGTAAACATGGTGTCGGATATTTTGTCATCTCAAGTGGCTTTTCGAGGATCGATTGTGCCTCGTCAAATTCAGCTTCTGTTTGATCAACTTCTTCTAAGAAAATTTAGATTTATTTTCAATTTAAGCTTTAGAATTTTCATGACTCCAATGTGGAGTAAAAACTGTGTATTTTATTAAATACTTTTAATTTACACAAATATATAATTAAATGTCAGGTATTGTTATATTTCGAATTTCTTTCAGAAAGTTTAATTTAACTAAAATTAAATTTAAATTTAATTTTAGATTTTTTTTTATGACTCTCAGCTTTGAGTAAAAAAGCTGTATTGTTAAATATTTTTTCAAAATAATTTTCGCTATAATCTTTTTGTTATGAGAATATAAAATTATTATATAACTTTATTTTTTGCAGTTTCTTTAGTTTTAACTTCATTATTTTTATTACAGACAGGTTCTACAAGTAGTGTTAGTGGTTCTCAGGTATCATTAGATGGATTGCGAGATGAAAATACATCTCCATTACCATCAGTTTCATCAAAGGGGGAGAATAATGTTGAACTAAAGCCTAATGATGGAATACAGTTAACTATAAAAGACATAAAAAAGTTTGAAAATAGAGAGGATGAATGGAGAAAGCGTTTAATGAAAAAAGAGGCGGAAATACTGAAACGTATGGAAAAGCAAGAGGAAGAATGGAAAGTCAGGCTTCTTGAAAAGGAGAAAGAATGGAAAAAAATTATAGAAAAGCAGGAGAAAGACAAACGGAAATTAGAAGAAGAGATAAAAAAGATAGAAACAGCAAAACAGTCTTTAGAACATGCTCTTAAAGATGCAGAAGGTATTTATAAATTGAATTATTTTATTTTTGTATTTATAGAGTGTTTCATAATCATTATATATCTCTCTAAAAATATAATACTGTTATACTTGCTTCTGTATTTTTGGTACTGAAATATTCTATGGATAATATACTTTCAAAAACTATATAAGAAACTAAGTTTGCTGCTTTTTTTAAAATACGACACAAAGTAATACTTCGTTGCAGTAGATCTTACATAACATATAATATTGTGTACATTAACCAAATAGTAAAAATTAAAAATAATGAAATACTAACAAAATTGTTGCACTTATGTTTTGAGTTATTATATATAACATCTTATGTCTTAAATTAAATAATTTTTAAAAGGGTTTTAAAAATCAAAATTTTCAAATCTTCAAACCGTCTCTACATGGAAAGATTTTATTTGATGCATTTTAAATCACATTAAAATTATTTAATTTTAGTTTAACTTTTTCTGCAGATATATAATAACAGATAATTTAATATAAAATTGTCTTAAATTAAATAATTTTTAAAAGGGTTTTAAAAATCAAAATTTTCAAATCTTTAAACCGCCTCTACATGGAAAGATTTTATTTTATGCATTTTAAATCACATTAAAATCATTTAATTTTAGTTTAACTTTTTCTGCAGATATATAATAACAGATAATTTAATATAATATTGATAATAACACTGCAAATCAAAGTAGTAATTTCAAATGCCTCACTCTGTATATAATGTATATAATTTGAAGTCACCAGTTTTGAAAATGATTATTTGCTTAAAGATTTATACACACACACACACAAAGTTCTATAATAATTATTACATTTACTGTTACGTTAAATTAAAATTTTTTTTTCATATTCATTTTTCATATCTCATTGACGAAATGAGAAATTGTTTTCCTCTGGTGGTTTTTATTTCGAGCACATTCTGTATATATATCATCATTTTTCATTATGTTTTAGAATATAAAAAGAAATTGTACAGCTTTCAAGAAGATGCAGAACAACTGGAAGGTTTTCAAACACAGGAGATGGCAAAAGTTAAACATCTTGTACGTGTTATTAAAAATAAGAATAATAACATATATAGAAAGGATTGATTATATACATACATATATATATATATATATATATATATATATATATATATATATATATATAATTTTCTATTTCTATTCTATATATAAATGTACATATAATGTTAACAGAATTTGTATATTTGTAAAAAAATTGGGGTATTAGAATAGTGTAATCAAATCATGTTGACAAATTATGATTTTTTTTGTTGAATAATTATCTAAATATTGAGATTTATTAATCCAGATGCGGTATACAAAGTAAAAATTTTTACTTTTTGAAAAAACTAAAAACGCTAAGTTTTTATATATTTAAAAAATTGTTGTATAAAAAAATGCACAAAAAGATTTAATTCTATTATTGTATTTTACTTAAAATTTTGTGTATTTTGATATTATATTTTGATATTTTTATTGATTCTATATAATATTAAGTATGTTATAATAATGTTTTTTGCAGTTGTTGGCAAAAGAGCAGGAAGTGGAGGAAAAGACGTGTCATTTGAAAACTGCTACAGCGGAAATAGAAAGTCTAAAGACAGAAGTTTCCCGTCTCAGACGATATGAAGATGAATTAAATGACATACAGGTAAGTTGATGTTATTAAATTTGAAGCTTTTTATTTATTCAAACTTATTAATTATTATTTACGGTATAAACGGTTTGTTAATTTTTTTCAATAATTTTAATACTTAATTATATTTTATGCACATTTTAATATTTTTAATATTATTTTAATATAATTTAAATTATGTAGCATTTTTGTAGAATATATATTATTTTACAAAGTATTTAAACTAAATAAATTATTTTTACACAAATTAAATAGCACTTTGTGTTGGAAAACAATTATATGCTTTTTTTATTTTTAATACAGATGATGTATTTGATGTTAGTTTTTAAAATGCGATATAGCACAACACTGAGCATTGAAATAATTAAAATTATAATTAATTTTGAATCTTAAAATTTTGTAAACATAAGATTATATATAAGATTCGATTCGTTTGCGTATATGTATAATAAAGTATAGTAGTTTTCGATTATAAGATCATCAAGTAATTGAAAAGTTAATCAGAGCCTGTAGGATTTCATTTTCTGACAATATAAGAATTTTTTTGAAATTTTTAGAAAAATAATTAGAAATTAAACTTAAATTTTTTGTATTATATAACATTTTTTTATTATTTGATCATTTGATTTATTGAACGGAGTAAGTTATATTGAATAGAATCTTATGTTGTTTTATTGTGTTGGCAACATTCTTAAATTTAAATTTATGAATTACGCATTAAGAAAAATGTCCATTTGGTACATGAAGTTTTTCATTACTTTTGTGAGAAGTCACTTATAATTTTATACATACATGCAGTCATTTTTAAGTCATTAAGTATTTATTAGTAATGACAAATCATGGTGACGATTCTGATTTCTCTGTTCTACACGCATATATTTGTATCACAGACATGAAACAGAAATCAGATTCATCATATGATTTGGCACTTCTACAGTATTTAAGAATTCTAAACTTGTGACCACCTGTGTTTTTTGTGTGTCACACATGCGCATACATGCACAGAGGCAAATATAGCTGTAAAATTTTTCCATGGTACATGTTGAGTTGCTGACGATCACTATAAATCTACATACCTGATATTAATTCACAAAGTTTTTGACTTAAAGAAGAATTTAATTAGTTTGAAAATTTTATTAATATTACAAAAATTTGTAATAAAAATGTGAATGTTATTAAAATTTTTAGATATATACACATTTTATAATGTTTATTACCTTATATGTATATACATAAATTTTAAATTAATTTTGTATAGATATATGTATAAAGGTCATTTTTAAAATATTTAATAAAATTTACATTTTTCTTACAAATTATATATATAATTATTTTGTTTCTTTTTTTCAAATTATAAAACTATTACTTAAAATATTTTTTAATTATATTTTATTTTCGAAATATTTTCAGCTCAATCAATTAAATGAATCATTCTGTGTACACACTATATATGTATGTATGTGTATGTATACACGTGTGTGGGAGGGGGGGGGTAGAGAAATTTGCAATTCTTTTTGCATTTCTTTTTTTGCCGTATTTTGTTTGGTGACATAACATTGAACATCGCTTGACTTGATACCACAAATTTTTACATCCGGTAATAATCCTTTAAACCTCTTGTGTTTGTATTAAACCGAATAGAAAACTTTAGTTTTATTGTGATCTCCATAATAATTAACAAAAATTAATTATAAAAATTATAAAACATTAATTAATTTTTTATTAATTATTGCGAAGATCGCAAAACGGTTGAACATTTTTCTACTTGATTTAATCTGCTCTACGTGAAAGATTTGGCAATTATTACTGGACATCCTATATATCATACTAGACTGTTAACAGCTAAAAGTGACGCGAAGACGGCTATAATTAATTAAACAGACTATAAATTAAACAACCAAGTATACAAATTCCAACATATTTTTTATTTTTATTCGTGTACTTGATATTTATTGTTTTATTTTTATTTCAATTTTATTACAAGATGTTTACTACCACACTGAAAAAATATAGCATATAGAATTTTGCCTAATTAGATCTGACTGCTTTTGCATCACATTTCACCATATGAATTTTACACGTGTTATAGCGGTCTAGTATAATATATAGAAGTCTTAAGCCGATCATGTTGGAATTGTGACGTCAGAGGCGCTAAAAATTCTTAAATGTCATTTTAAACTAAAAAGATATTTCGATAAAACCGCAGGTCTTAAAATATCTCGAAAACTATCATTTTCCCTTTATAATCAATCAACAGCTGTAAAATGACAGTAATATGAGGCCCAGTCCGTCTGGTCTTTGCAAATGCATATTCTGCATTTGATTGAGTGTCAAGGAAATAGAATAATTTTCGACATATTTTAAAAGTGCGAAAGCCATCTGAAATAGTGTTTTATCGAAATGTCTTTTTATTTAAAAATGGCATTAAGAATTTTTGACGTGTGTTTTCTCGCCTCTGACGTCACAATCTAACATGGCAAGAAGCCATGGAGCCTTAATATATTCAAATTGGACATTGCTTAATTGGACACAGAATTATTGGACATCACATTTAATCAGATATACATTGAAGCAAGATTGGACACCGATTGACAATTTAGGCTTAGAAAAGGATTAGGATTAAATTAGATGTAGATTAGACAGAGATTTTCTTAAAGTAAGAATGCACGGAAAAGAGTTTCGCTTCTGTCGCTCCCTCTCCCTTTCCTCTGATCTATGCATTTATTTTTTATTTACATGAATTTTGATTGAAGTTAAACGTATTGATTGCATGCGTTGAATTAATCGTGTAGTGTCCAATCATGCAGTATTTGTAATTAGTCAGGTAATGTCCAATCCTCCTCATGTAATTCTTTACGAAGACTTACACTTAGCATGGATCATCTTGCTTTTGACATACAGGGTGTCCAATAGGAAATTGCTGAAACTAATCAGTTATTATTTCTTAATGCATGCAGTTATTGAAAAAACAAAAATTGTGTTGGAAAGAGGAAAGTTTGCAGTTTTTAATGGATATAAATAAAATGTTTGTATACCAGTTTATTTTATTGATACAAAGTAATGAAAAATATAATAATCACATAAAATCACCTAAACTAATGATAAATATTTTCAACAGTGCTAGATTTAATAGTAGCTATTAAAAGGATTGTCACAATAACATTAAAAATAACATGTTAGAAACATTTTCACGAATTTTCGGAAAAGAACATAATTTTTTACAAATTCAAATGGTGTGCACTTTGAAAATATTTATCATTGGTTTACATATGTGATTATTAGCACTTTTTTCATTATTTTTTCCAATAAAATAAACTGCTATACAAACATTTTATTTATATCCATTAAAAACTGCCAACTTTTGTCTCTTTAACACAATTTTTGCAATTACTGCGTGCATTAAAATATGACAGCTGATTAGTTTCAGCAATTTCCTATGGGACACCCCATAATGTATTAAAGTAAGGTAGGTAAATACATAAGCAAGTAGACGTATATAGATATATGTACAGGTCAGATACCCGCACACACAAAAATACACATACATATATCTTTAGTACACAAAACTGATAATACAAGTATGTTTGAAACGATAAAGAAGAGACAAAATATTGATTTCAGCAATTTTTCCATTGTCGTCCTATAACTTCGACATAGAATGTAAGAGTATAATTTTTGTTGGTGTGAAAAAATCTTGCTTTTCTATAAATATAGATAAACTTATAAATATAACACATTTAAACTCTATAAAAATCATGTGAATATTATTCTTAGATTGCATTTTTGAAATAAAATATTTTACATATAAGTAAAATAATACATAAAAATACGCATAATATTGTTTTATGAATATTATTGTTTTGTGTGTGTGTGTGTAAAAATATAAAAATTTTGATAAAAGATATAAAAATTACATCACCCTGTTAATGTTAATATATAATGTAATATAGTATATTATATAATACTTATATATAACTCTATTATAACTTATATTATACATTACATGGTTTAAAAAAGCGTAACATACCGTTAAAAATTATCTGTTCAAGAGAAAATGATAAAAAAGGCCACATTCAAAAAATAATTTTACACAAAAATTTTGCTTTAATGTACATGATTTATTATTCTAATTCGTTTTTTCTATGAAGATGATATCAGAAAAAAATTTAATTTTAAACTTTAATTTATATTTATGTTATTTTAAACCAACTTTAATTAATTTTTATACTATTCTCAATGCATTTAATGCATTTTTCTGATATCACGATTTTTATAAAAAGAAAGGTTTAATCAATAAAATATACATGAAAATATACAAAAAGCAATATAATTACAATATTTTTTGAAATGACGTGTAAAATGTATTGACGAGCGCAAAGATCTGGCGTTATTTTTCTATTTTATTATATTATTTTTAAAAAATGAATATACACTGTTACAACTTAACAAATATTTTTCTTGAAGGATATTTCGTGCGAAAATATGAGTATAGTATTCATTATGAATAATTAAAATATAATTTAAAACATGAATAATTGAACTAATTTAAAATATAATTCTCTTTAACTTTTTCGCATTAAAAAAATGTATACGTGATTATGTAAATTGAATATGAGTAAAATATACATTAAATATAAATCGATTGATAAAATTTAACCCATTTTTTGAGCACGCTTATTTTTGTGAAAGTGGGATTTCATATTTAGGATAAGAGAGAGAAGAAAGGAATTTTACATATTATGCATTAATATATTTTGTATTTGTAATAATATGTTTTTGAGTATTACATCGCTTTTTGTTTCGTCACAGTTGCTACTACGTTTTTCTGCACTTTTTTATTATTATTGACATGCTGCTCAAACATGAATTCATAACATTTATACTACATATGATGACTCTTGCTGTAGTAAGACAAATATTGAAACTACGTGAGTTCCATAACTCTTAGATGTATATGAATATCGCATGATATTTTTATCTCTTAATATTTTGGTTTTTTGTCTCCTTTCGCTATTTATATTAATCTCTTAAGACTGTCAAAATTTTAATTTACAGGGTGTCCCATTGAAACTAATCAGCTGTCATTTTTTAACACATGTAGTTATTAAGAAAACAAAAATTGTATAAAAAAAGAGGAAAGTCTACAGTTTTTAATGGATATAAATAAAATGTTTGTATACCAGTTTATTTTATTGATAAAAAGTAATGAAAAAGGTACTAATAATCTAATAAATTTTTCTAACATATCATTTTTAATGTTATTGACGATCTTTTTAATAGCTGCTATTAAATCTGGCACTGTTGAAAATATTTATCATTAATTTATGTGATTTTATATGATTATATTTTTCATTACTTTTTGTCATTAAAATAAACTGGTATACAAACATTTTATTTATATTCATTAAAAACTGCATACTTTCTTCTTTCCAACACAATTTTTGTTTTTTCAATGACTGCATGCATTAAAAAATGACAGCTGATTAGTTTCAGCAATGTCCTATGGGACACCCTGTATTATTACAGTTACTGATGTGCTCACAAAAAAATTGCAAATTGTTAAGAAGAGGAGTGTTGCTAGTTTTCCTTTTTTTAGTTTAAAAATAATAATTGATGTTCCCTTGCATGAGTAATTTTTGAGTCCCATTTTTGAGTCTCATTTTTGAGATTTGTGGACATATCTTTCATACAAATTCGCGTGACATATCGCCGGGAACAAGAGATGGAAAAGAAATTTTCTATGAGTTATGGAACGTAGACGTTGTTGAAAGTGATACGAAAAAGTTCTGTGAACACCACGCACGCATGAAGATTGGAAAACTTTGGTAAACGAGAGCATCGAGGATCGAAAGTTAGGCGGTTATTTCCGCTAATTCTCGGTGCCGCTATCGCTGACGCTAGAGGTACGTTTAATTAAGGCTTCGCCGCTATTCTGTTATGCTAGAATAATCATGCAATAGCCTCTTTGCTTATGCCTATGCTTCAACTGTATTCGAAATAAAAAAGTTCTTGTTAATTATCGAATAATGAGCTCTCTATCTCTGGTGATAATAATAATGCATGTGTATTACACACTCGATTTTTTGGCATCGTTCCAGATACGAGACAATAAAGTTATTTTCTCTTTTCTTCTTCTCTTTTATTATTTATTTATTTTTTAATTTAATTAGTTTTATTGTTTTGCGCAAAAAATGCAGAAAGAAATTTCGTTTTTAAGATTTCTCGCCGCGCGGCTATGCCAGATTGTGACGTCAGAGGCGAGAAAAATTTCCCACGCTAAAAATTCTTAGATACCATTTCGAAATAAAAAAATATTTCGATGAAACAGCAAATATTCTTTTTCATTTAAAAATGGCATCTAAGAATTTTTAACGCGCGCTTTCTCGCCTCTGACGTCACAATCTAACATAGCCGCGGCGAAGAGTCTTAATATATACTTGAATAATTTTAATTATTTATATATTTTATATTTATATGTATATTTTATTTTAATTATTTTAAAATCTAGTTGAACAAACTAGAACAAATATATATATATATAGATATATTCTTTTATTTCTGATTTGGCAAGATTTATAATTCGCATATTATTATATCGCTTTGATAAGATTCGCCAGGGGGATTTCATAAGACAAAAAAAAGAAAATAAAGTTAAATATATAATTCTAGTAAAACGAACTAGATCAAACCACGTGTAGTAATCCTAATATTCACTTTCAGGATGAAATGGAGACGATGCGTCATTCCACCCAGCGAGAGAGAGCGCAGCTTTCATCCCAGTTAGCGCAGACAGAAGAACAGGTGCGCCATCTGAAGGACAAGGTGTTCGTTCTGGAGCAGAGAATCGCCCTGGAGACAAACGATCAGGTGACGGTAGACGAGAGGATAGCCGATCTGATGCGTGAGAGGACGTTGCTGGAGAGGAAGCTGGAGGAGGCGCATCTTCATCTGTCCGATATAAAGACCAGCTGGTCCGGGAAGATCTCCAGTCTCGAGACACAAGTCGGTAGACTCAGCAGACAGGCGGGCGAGGAGGGATTGGAACGTAGGCAGGTCGAGCAGGAGAAGGAGAGGCTGAAACAGAGAATCAAGGAGCTAGAGGCCGAGATAGAGGTGAACAATATTGTTATAGCGACGAAAGACGCTAAGCTTTTGCGCATGACTGAGGACATCGACGAGATGGCTACGGAACTAAAAGAGCTCCGGGCCAGCGTCGATGACGAGGTGGAAGAATTTAAACGGCAAATTGTGAGTTACCGCGATATGTAGTGATGACAAAAGTGCATGGGTTTAGAGATTGTCCCTTAAAGATTTTTTTCCCCCATACAAAGATTATCTCCGAATGATAGATTTCGTATTGTAATGCTGATTTATTTGTAATATACAGGGTGTTCCAGAGGAAATTGTTGAAATTAATCAGCTGTCATTTTTTAATGCATGCAGTTATTGAGAAAACAAAAATTGTGTTGAAAAGAGGAAAGTCTACCGTTTTTAATGGATATAAATAAAATGTATACGAATTTATTTTATTTAAAAAAAGTAATGAAAAAAGTGCTAATAATCACATATGTAAACTAATGATAAATATTTTCTGTTCTTTTACGAAAACTCGTAAAAATTATTCCAACATGTCATTTTTAATGTTATTGACGATCCTTTTAATAGTTGTTATTAAATCTGACACTGTTGAAAATATTTATTATTAGTTTATGTGATTATTAACACCTTTTTCATTACTTTTTATCAATAAAATAAACTGATATACAAACCTTTTATTTATATTCATTTAAAACTGCTTTTCTCTTTTCAATACAATTTTCGTTTTCTCAATAACTACATGCATTAAAATATGACATCTGATTAATTTCAGCAATTTCCTATGGGACACCCTGTACAAAACTTTGTTGTTTTACTTATGTTAAATTTCTTTTTATCAATTATTATTATTGCCACAGTGCAATATTTTTATTAGGTAATATACTATTTTCTGTTATGTTCATCAAAGACTGTATTGCATTAAACTTTGTCTAATAATTTTTTTGTCCTAATGCCTTAGAAGAGAGACATAGTCATTATTTATACTTTCAATATTTTGTCGACAATGAATTTTGGTAGCTTTATTGTCTTTTGATTTTATGTCAAGATTATTGAAGGCATTTTTAGAAGAAATGGTTGAGACGAGTTTTTTTTTAAATTAAAAATTATGTTACATTTAAAAAATTCGACTTCTGGTTTGGATGCTTATTTTCGATATCGGAAATTGAAAATATTATAATTCAATAAAATGTACCCGGTGTACTTACAAAAATTTTGCGAATTTTTCATAAAAACCGCTTTCCTTCGTTTTAAAAGAGATGTATGAATGGTTTCCCTATGTACGTGTGTATGTATGTGTGTATCACATTATTATTTTTACGTTTAATTAAATTTACATAATAAAAATATTTCAACAGAAGAAACTAACTTTGATTATGTATTAATTTTTATATCAATTGAATTCATAGAATGTCAAATATCAAGCAAAGATAAATATTTAATTAATAATATCTACTTATATCAAGTTATTTTTTATTATCTTGATATATCAAGTTATACACATATCATCGCAAAGAAGCAAAATCTTATATAGCTTCTAGCGAAGATTATTGTTACGTGATTTTTATTAATAATCACATTTGAATATTTTATGTATTTATAATATTTGCGATTACATATGGAATCTTAATAAAAAATGCACATAATTTTCATATGTAATATAAAATATAGATGTGTCAAAATTCACAAATTAAAATATCGGAAAGTTCTCGAAAAATTTGTAATAAATATTTGCGATTTTTTATTATAAAAAAAGTAATAATGTTTATGATATAAAAAACAATTTAATGTGATTGATAAATTACAGGATACATTTAATTTAAATAATCGTTTATTCGCGAATTGTTTAATAAAACTGTTTAATAAAAAATATTTAATTTTTCGAAAATTTTTCTGTTATAGTATTTTAATTTTTTGGCGAATTTTGGGTGAATTTGTGGATGTTTATGTATATGTGTGGGTGCACATGTGAATCGATTAAATATTGTTGCATGTTGTTCAGAAGCTTGATGCACATTTTATTTTTTAATCTCAATACGTGCACGTGCTAGAAATTCCTTATTTTTATTTTTAACAACATACTGTTATTATTTAAAGCATTTAAATTAGTTAAGCATGTTAGTTAAGAGCGTTTTGAGAAAATTGGTATCAAAAAAATATATAAGAGTTTTGATTGTGCAATACAAATTTACTTACTTGTGAATCGAAAATAGTATATTTTCCTTTATCTGTACATTATCTTTGTACAGGAATTAGTATGCTGAAATAATAATACACACACATTTTTATGTATGATTGCACTTTCTGTACATTTTATTTGTGGAATAAAGAAGGAAAAACAAGTACAAATGCAAATCTTTTATTTTTTTTACCTATTTTTAATTATTTTTAATTCCCGAACGATTTACCTCATATCACAGAGTCCTGTAATAAAATCTAGAATTTTATTTCAAAATTATCCTATGTGTGCTATTGAGATAAAATTTGAAGATAAGCTTTTAAGACGAAATTATTTCATATAGATTATAATTATAGTTAAATATAGAACTTAGTTTTCTATGCTGACTTCCTGTCAATATCTGATATCATTTATATAGAATTATATTTTTCTGCTACAAATATTGAAAAAAAAAATTTATTTATAAATTAACAGAAAAGAAATATTTGTAAATTCAAAGAATCTATGAATAAAATATGTATATAGCAAAATAAAAATTATAAGATATTTTCTCTATACATTTATTTACTTGTATACTATCGTGAACAATATATTATATTTGAAAAATGATGAATTATTGCAAAACGCAAAATTTTAACAATGTAAAAAGAAAATATATTTTATTTTATTTATAATTCATTTTTATTTCTTTTGTTTTTTATGATTTTCAGTTCTCATTTTAAGAATAATTTTATTTATTTCAGAATTTATAATCCCTAATATTTTTCCTACAATCCTACATGAAACTGCATGAAAGAAAATAAAATCAGCAAAACAAAAAGTTTTTTAAAGATTTAAAACTCATCTATATTAAATTGTTTAACCAAACAAAATTTATATAAATTTTAATATTTTGAAATAAAATGTGTGAAATATTTTCTCATACCATGAAGCGTTCGCTTCATTATTAAAGAACATACATATACACATTTATTTCAAAAAATTAAAATCCACATCTTAAAAAAAGAGTAACATCACCATGTCGTCAATTAGGTATGAATGATAAAATGTGCATTTATAAGTGTCAATTCATGCGAATTCGTGTTTGTCGTTTTTTTAGGAATCTTCGTCGAAGGAGATCACCCAGCTGAAATCGGATCTCGAGAACACGACGAGCAAACTCAGTACAGTTACTGACGAGTTAGCGAGTCTTCGATCGACCTTGGAGAGGGAAGAGTCGAGTAATTCTTCTTTACGTCTAGAACTGGCGTATCTGCAGGAGGTTCTCGAGTCCGAGCGAGCCACCTTGGCAGGACTGCGAAGCTCCTTTGAGAGGGAGAAGGACGAGAAGGACGCCGCTCTGTTGAGGAACGCCCAGGTGTCTCAGGACATGGAAATCGTGAAGCAGAAGAGTCGGCAGCAGGAGCTCGAGAACACGGAGCTGCTGGGCAGAGTGGAGAACCTGGAGGATCATTTGGCCGGGAAGAGGAAGGAAGTGGAGCAGGCGGCGGTTACCTTGAAACAGTGCGAGCTGAAGGTCGCGAAATTGGAAGAGGCGGAGCGTAACAGGGAGAAGATAGAGAGGAACGAGAGAATACTCAAGAGCAACCTGTTGGATCTGGAGGAACAATTGAGCGAGAAAAATAAGGTGGATGCTAATTTTTAATGACAACATTTTCAGTGTCTGCGCTCTCGTCCTGACGTCACAATTCTAACATGATCGGCGAGGAGCCAGGAGATTTAATATCTATATTTATTTATTTGTTTATTTGTTGTACAAAGTGTTTCATTTTAAATGAGCCAGGCAAATATTTTTTAAAAATATGACTAAAAATTGTTTAATTTAAAAGGAAACATAAAATGATGTGACCTTGATGTGACCTTGGATAATCATTTGAAGATCATTTTTAATTTCTTAAATGAGAACCCTTATTTTTCAATGCGTATTCTTATCTCGAGAGTTTTTCAAAACACTATAATTCATTTAAAATGGGATACCCTATTTATTGCATTTACTTTATTCATGCACATATATCTAAAAATATTTGTCAATTATCTAAATTCTAAATAAGTTATATACACGGTGTCCCATAGGAAATTGCTGAAACTAATTAGCTGTCATTTTTTAACGCATGCAATTATTGAGAAAACAAAAAGTGTGTTGAAAAGAGGAAAGTCTACAGTTTTTAATGGATATAAATAAAATGTTTGTACACCAATTTTTTTATTGAAAAAAGATGAAAAAAATGCTAATTAAAAAATGACAGCTAATTAGGTTTAGCAATTTCCTATGGGACACCCTGTGTATAACTTATTTAGATAATTGACGAATATTTTTTAGAATATTTTTTATATGTTTAATTTAATTTTTAATAATTTAATTTTTTCTGCTTTTTTTTAGACAATCAAAGTTTTGCAGCAACGGTTAACCGATATGAAGAAGACACTTCAACGCGAGCTGAAAATTCCGTCCTCGTCGTTGGATAGTGATGCCGAAGCCGCCTCCGCCGCTATTCTTAATCCGAGTTCATCCAAAACCGTCACTGCCAAGCATAATAATTCGAGGGAGGACGATGTCAACTTTAAATACCTCAAACATGTTCTTATCAAATTTCTCACTAGCAGAGAATACGAGGTGCATAATTCATTTTTTAAAAATCTAATTAACATTCTAATTTGTATTCTATTTTTTTGATTTAACAAATAATATAATATATTAATATAATAAATATATAATAATATATAATAATATATTCTCTTTTTTTATTTAGGCTCTGCACTTAACGAGAGCAGTGGCGACGTTGTTGCACTTCTCGCCAGAGGAGGAACGTCTACTTCAGGAGACCTTAGAATGGAAAATGTCGTGGTTCGGTACCAGGCCTAACTTAGGATTTGGACAAACTGCCAAAGCGATACCACCCAGCTGATAATTGCAAAATGTTTCGTATTTAACGAAACGTGCTAGAGCGAACGTAAATTATTCCTGTTCGAATAAGTGATCTTAATATGTAAATCACACTTCAATTTGAAATAATTTACATATTGAAGCAGCAGCCGCGCAAGAACTAATTTAAAGGGTATAAAAAAAAAATAGAAGAGTTATAAAGTGTCATAAATAGTGATTTTACAAAGTTTAATATGCGCGTTAAACATTTGTGCAAGTATAATAATAAGCATACTGCGATGAATGGCTATATGTATGGAACTTTATTACGATAAAAGATGGCTTTGCGAAATTTGATAAGATTTTATGAATACATCATTATTTATCGATTTATTTCATGACCCAGATAGCAAAAGTAGTCATTTTGATGGCACAATGATGTATTTTCACGTCAAAAATAATGTCATAATAATTACTATGGCTATGGGGAAGTTATTATCATACGCAACACTGAAGTGCAATTTTGATATCTTGTGCACGTATAAATTATGCAATACAAATACAATTCTGATATGAGATTGATTAATTGGCAATGGAATATATGTTTCGTTGAAATGAAATTTTGTATGTACACCATATTGATCATAACGACAGTATAAGAAAAACATTTCCCACTTTCATACGTCTTTTAAACTATCAGCAAACACAGATCGACAAAGGATATCTTAAATTCAAAGACTCTACTCTAGAACAGAGTTGAAATTTAGTTGTAATTTTAGGCATAATTTCATAATTTACTGCCTCTCTCTTGCTTATTGTTTGCTAATAACAAGTTAATATAACGATAATATTCGATACTGAAAAAATCAGCCGTAAACTATTAATCAAAATAGCGTATGATTATATCATTTTTGTAAGATATAATTTCATAATATTCACTAGTAATAATAAAAAGAACTATAAAAGATATCTTTTAATATTTTAACATCTCACCTATTTATATATAAAACAAAAAGAAGAAATAAAAAATTTGCTGTTCTTTTTATCTGCAAACCAAAATTCACATTCTATTGTATTGTAATTGTAAAAATGACTGTTATACTGTGGGTTGTATCAATATTGTGATTATTATTATCTAGTTATCTTGGAATTATTTTATAAAATTATATCAATTATTTGAAAAAAAAACATTAACACATCCAGATCAAGAATATTTGTATATCTACTTTATTTATATTTAGAAAACTTTAATGAGAGTGAAAAAATACTGTCTAAAAGGCAATAATTAGCGATACTTTTCTTATTCTAGTCAAATATTTCAAATTTAATAAATAGATATATTTGTTAATTTATTAACGCCTCCCAATAAAACGATATATGCTTTGTTTGTGTTTGTAGATAGTCCAAAATAAGTAATCATTACCTGCTATTATTTTTACACTTGAACATTACAGCAGATATCTTTATCTTTATAGTGCAATAGATAAATTTAATATATGGCTATATCTTTGTATCAATAAAAGTTTCTCATTACAAACTTCTCTTTTTATTTAGTTTTTGAATTGTTTGTACGCTTTAAAATATTTTTTACATGCAATTGATTTTTTTATTCTAATTGTAAGATTATATATACATAGAAATTATTTCTTTTGTTCTTGATAAATATTTCAAATCTTGAAGCCAGCTCTAATATTTCAAAGTGCAAAATAAGATTTATAATTTATATATATATATATATATATATATAATTATTATATATCATATATTTTCAATATAATATAAATAAAATAATAAAAATGAAATAAGTATTATCCTGAAAGAAATGCATTTGTGAAAGAAAATTCGAGAAAAGAAATTATAATAGTATTAAAAAATTAATGATAATTATATTTATATATAAATAATTTATATGTAAATAATTTTTAAATTAATATAATATCAAATGCCTCATTAAAAAATATTCAATATAAATTTATTTATATTATGTCACTTATAAATATATATATATATATATAAATTTTTTTTTAATATATTATTTAAGTAATATATAAATAAATAAATATTTTTAATGTGACGTCACAAAAACGATACAGCTGCCATCTGGGTGAATACCAACACGAACTAATACGGTTTCATTTTCTTATGGGAGTTTCCCTCCTTGTCCTGCCTGGTCCTTAATATAGTCCTTGGAATACAGAAAATGAATGGGAGACAGATCTACTTTTTTATTTCATGATGAATTTTTTAGCAATCATTAATAATCAAGCCATTGAAAGCTATTTTTATTTTCTTACGTGGTCATGTGCTATTTTTTATTCTGCATATGAGCTTTATTTATCCCACAATTGTAAGGATACATGTATATAAAGAGTCAAGAAGCAAAGAATTAAAAAGCTGATGTTTTTTAGAGTCATTGAATAATTTTGTACTTTCAGATTTTGATGACTATTATGATGCGTACAATGATTTTGACGTAGGATGGTCTTGGATTGGAAGAAAGCGAGATGTATCTGATCAAGAATGGCGTGTATGGCTTACATTAGTAAACAAATTAATACCATGCATTTTTATACATTATTTAGTCAGTCAGATTATTAAAGGCTTCCATAATAATGTGGTAATACATTTATATATATAATTTATAATATTCATATATACTTAACATATATATATTATTTGTTATTATAGATTATTATAATATATATATATATATATATATATATATATATATATATATATATATATATATAATATATATAATATATTTACAAAATATGTCTTATTGAAAAAATCTGTACTTGAAAGGAGTAACATAATGCAAATTTTTTTAGATACTATGCTGTTGGTACATCTTGTCCTCTACAGTGTTTCTGTATTATTATATTGGTCCATTAGGTGCATTATGTGCAATATTGCAACCTAGTCTTTTACATATAATAACATATACATGCAGGAAGGATGTCGCATGGTTGATACATATTTCATTTTTATTTGTAATACATGTATTAAAAATACCGGATGGTACTTTTCAAAATTGGCTGAGATTCGATGATGAGCAGCATTATATTTTGACACTCGCAATGTGTTGGATACATTTAAGGAGTATTAGTCATAATATGGACAGTATTAATGATCAATTGCTCAATTCAAATAGTTTCGTCCAGAAATTAGCATATTGCTTATACTTGCCCACATTATTTTTAGGGCCACTTATTTTGTATCACGACTTTGTGGAATCTGTACGTATGATTTACTATTATATATAACCATATGTTAAATTTTATAAAATAATGTTATTGAAAATAATATTAAGATAACAAATATTCACACAAAATAATGATTGTTTCAGATTAATAAACCACACCAATATTGGAACTGGCAAAAATTACAAACTTTTGCATTAAATTTAATTAGATACATGTTCTGGTTATATTTTACTGAATTTTTGCTACACTTTATTTATGTAAATGCTATACAATACCATCCTCAGGTAATCATTTATTCATATATAATTATTATATTTATATAAATATTATATATACATATATATATTTTTTTTATTTGTTTCTTTTATAGCTTGTACAAAATTTAAATCCTTGGGCGCTGTATGGTTTAGGATATTGCATGGGACAATTCTTTCTAAACAATATGTTGTAATCTATGGAACTTGTAATACTTTGTGTAGTTTAGATAATGTAAAAGCGCCACCACCACCCAAATGTATAGCTAGAATTCATTTATATTCCGACATGTGGAAACATTTTGATAGAGGTTTATACAAATTTCTTATAAGGTGAATATAATTAAAATCTTGTGATTAAATTTTAGATATTAGATATACTTCATTTTATTAATAATAAGATCTATTTTATATATTTTTATATAGGAATATTTTATTATTATATAATAAATTATTTTTTTATATGTTACAGATATATTTATATCCCTATACGAAAATCAAATGGAAAATTATTTGCATCATTTTTATGTTTTACTTTTGTTTTTGTATGGCATGGAATACAAATGAATATATTTATTTGGTCAATGTTAAATTTTATAGGAGTAACAATAGAAAATTAGGAATTTTAGTTGGCAAAAGCAAACAATATCGCACAATACAGTCTATGTATTTATCCTCAACAAATATTAAGAGATTTCATTGTATATTAGCAAGCCCTCTTTTAGTTATGTCAGCTATATCTAATTTTTATTTTTTTGGAGATCAATCAATTGGTAATATTTTATATATAACATAATATATGGTAAGATTTTCATATATTTTTAGTTTTCATATTCCGTATATCTTATTTTGCTTAAAATATAAAGGAACGATTACATTTTATATAAATACTGCTAATATGTATTGCTTAAATATAAATATTTTATTTTATTAAGACTATAATAATTTCACATATAATTAAGTAATAACTAAATAAATAAAGAAAAATTAACATATTAATTTCTGTTTACAGGATCCTGGAAAACTTTAATTATTTTGTTTTTCTTTCTTTATTGCTGTTGTCAAGTTTCTGTGGATGTAAAAGATTGGGAATTGTCACGGAAATTATTAAAAAATAATGTAAAAACTGTACATTAAATAAATATACATCTAAATATACAAAAACTGATAAAAGATTAGCATAGTTTTAAGTACTTTTTAAGTTACAATTAGTTTTGGATATAATTTAAAATATATATTAAAATCTGATAATTTCCATAGAGTAGAGAGTTTATAATTTTGAATTATTTAAAATTTTTTCGACAAAAATAAATTATAATATAAATATAATAACTATTTTGTAAAAAATTGATTCAAGAAAAGTATTGTAAAATTTACAAAATGTATAACAATATATTAAAATTTGTATGCACAAAAATAATAATAAAAAAATATATGTAAAATATATACATATATTAAAAGAAACAAAAACTGATAGAATATTAAAGGTGAAATAAATTAATCCTCCATTATAATATATTTTGAAACAATAATAAGTTTGTATAAAAAACAGTATATCCTTATGGAGAAAATCTAATTTTATTATTTATAATTTATTGGCAACTTTATATTTTTAATATATTACATTCTTCTTCTTCCTTTGTATGGCAAAGATTTAGATCATGCTGCCAGATAGAACTGCCACACAGGTTGTGAGATATTCCTTTTTTTTCGAGTTGTAGCCTTTGATTTTTAGCTGGTTTTTGTTTAGGAAGGCCAAGATCGGAAGGATCACTTCCAAGGGGTCCCAGGAGAATGTGAGTCTTATATAGCGGAATAGATTTTGTACTAGAACGGATAGCTCTCAGTAATTCGGGACGGTGCCGCTCGTAGAGGGTGCACGACCAGAGGATGTGATCAATGTCCTGGACGGGAGCTCCACAGTCGCAAGCTGGCGACTGGACGATGTTGCATCTGTGTAAGCTGGAGTTTAAATTGTAATGATTAGTTCAGATTCTCAGCGCGGTCATTACCGCAGCAATAAGTCTCGCGTAGATTGGTAAAAATTTTCGCGTGTAGATATCTTTTTAATTTGCTTCTTATTAAAATATTTGATTATTTATGAATTTTTCGACACTTGTTAGAATCGTTGCTCGAATGCCCCGCGGTAGTATTAAAAATTAAAATTTAATCTATATTTATAGAATAAATATATCGATTTCAAATTCGAGAGAACTTGAAAAAAGGCAAATTAAAGAAGTTTTGAATTTGATCCTATTTAAATTTTCTGCAATCGGGATTGTCTTTCAATTGCAAACTAAAACTTTCCCAGCAAACACAGTATATAAATGTTATGTACTTAAACATGTTACATGTAACGTATATGTTAGTTGTAATTTCCCACTCATAGATGTAACATTTTTAATATTACATATATTACATCGTAGTTATATTGTCATTATATCCCAATAAGATAGCACTGACTTATCAATATACATCAATGTGCTATTTTCTCTCGCAATGTGCGTTCTCTCACTTTTGTCTCTCTATTCTGACTTTTATTAGCCTATTTTTTATTTACAATATTAAACATTTCAATTTTCGATTTTTAATTGTACACTAGATGACTTAATTTATGCTGGATACAATATAAAAGATTCAAAGATGATAAATTAATAATATTCAAAAAATTTAACAGAAATTTTTTCATGTGATAATTACTAAAGATATATCGATCTGTGATTAGTATTAATCAAATGTTCTATGACCGGCTTGTAAAATTAAATTACACAAATATAAATGGCACAGATTTGGCATGTATCTTTTCTCATGTATATTTATGCATATTTAAAAAAGTTTCGACGCTAAATGTGACGAAATATGTGTTTTATTTCCGATAAATTTTATACATTTATTTATTTAAATAATAAGAATATTTTTAAGTCAGCTCTTTTAATTTTTTAAAACACAATCTATACTTCATTCCTCTCGACCAATAGAGCCGAACGCGATGTTATTGCGACGATTAAGAAAGAAAGAAAATTTGGAAACTAAGGAATTTGAATCCTATGGTTGGGATCTCAGAAATTCCCTTTGTTCCTTCTCTTAACATCCTTTGTAAAGAAATAGGCGAGAAAAATTTGGTCCGAAAGTCGGCTGAATCGGGAAAGGAATAAGGGGAATTTCTGAGATCCCAACCATAGGATTCAAATTCCTTAGTTTCAAAATTTTCTTTCTTTCTTAATTGTCGCAATAACATCGCGTTCGGCTCTATTGGTCGAGAGGAATGAAGTATAGATTGTTATTTATTTAAAGTTATTTCCAATAAATGCATACATTTTTGAACATTTAATTATATTTGAATAAATGTACGACAAATTTGAATTTTTTATCTGAATCTGATATATTTGCTATAGACTAACTCGAATTTTTATAACATAAATATTATTTCCTGCCTCATATATAATATAATAACAAATTAATTTTAAAAAAACTGTAATGTTTTTATTTATCTGTACATACACGAAATATATATAAAAGGTTAAAATAATCCATTTATCCAGACAATTCATCTTTAATTTATTTCTTCTTCCTTTGATATGATTTGTGAAGATATATCGATCTGTGATGAATATTGCTAAACTAACATGTGAAAATTGACTGTCTCACTATTTTAACTGGGTTATTAATTTTTTATTCGACTTTTAACGTAACTGAAATAATTTTGTAAATTATTAGATTTATTAATTTAAAAAAATGATTAATAATTTCACTAAGGAAAAGGATGCAGAGTGACATTGTAAAGAAATTTAAACGTAATATATGTGCTAGATAAATTTGCTGCGCGATACCTGTCTGTTCGTTATTCTTAGGACTGAAAATGCCAGAGAATCCTGAAATGCCTATAGAATTTTTGTATGGTGTTGTATACGTTTACCTTTGTAATTCTGCTTACCTAAGTGCGTATATATGTGTCTCTAAGTGTAAAAGAATTGTTAAATATACATATTTTGAACAACAATTTGATTAGTAGCCAATTAACACACTGTTATTTAATTGCAAAACTTAGATACACACATTAATATTAATATATTTTGTTAAAATTATTTCTGGCGATTATTTATTTGTAGATTATATATAAGTAATGTTAATATATGTTATATATAAGTAATGTTAATATATGTTATATATAAGATATATTATTATATGTGTATACATATATTGTAATATAAGCAGGGTTGGAAAGTAACGAGTTACTTGTAACGAAGTTACAGTTACAGTTATTTTTTTTTGGTAACTATAACTTAACTTCGTTACTTTTCTTCATCTGTAACTGTAACTATAACTTAGTTACATTTTTTAGTAACTAGTAACTACCCAGCAAACACCGATATATAATGTTACATTGCTACAATAAAACGGAATATAACAGGTAATATAACGTGTACGTTACATGTAAAATTCATGTTAGTTATAATTTCTCATTCATAGATGTAACATTTTAATATAACATATATTACATTGTAATTATATTGTAATTATATACCAAATAGCACATTGATGTATTGATAAGTCAGTGCTATCTTAAGAAATAATGACAATATAACTACAATGTAAGATATGTAATATTAAAAATGTTACATCTATGAGTGGGAAATTACAACTAACATATACGTTACATGTAACATGCTTAAGTATATAACATTTATATACTGTGTTTGCTAGGTAGTAACTTACTAAATAGTAATCGCAAAGTCGCAAGCAAATCGACCAATTATTACATTTAAAAATTTTTTAAATACTTGACTGTGATTGGTCGATCTTAATTATATGTTATATTATTTTATGTACACGAAAGCATGTTACATGTAACGTATATGTTAATTGTAATTTCCCGCTCATAGATGTAACATTTTTAATATTACATATATTACATTGTAGTTATATTGTCATTATATCCCAAGATAGCACTGACTTATCAATACATCAATGTGCTATTTGGTATATAATTACAATATAACTACAATGTAATATATGTTATATTAAAATGTTACATCTATGAGTGGGAAATTACAACTAACATGGATGTTACATATAACGTACACGTTATATTACTTGTTATATTCCGTTTTATTATGTAACAATTATATATCGGTGTTTGCTGGGTAACTATTGTTACTGTTATATATAAAGGTCATTCATACATTGATGATAATCGCAAAGTCGCAAGCAAATCGATCAATTATTACATTCATGAATTTTTTTAAATACTTGATTAGCTGTGATTGTGCATAAAAGGTATGCTCCTTATATTTAAAATAATGTATAATTATTTTTAAAAGTATGGCAATTGAAAAGTAACGACTCGTTACTTTTTGAGAAACTGTAACTGTAACGAGTTATTTTTTTAAAATCGGTAACTTGTAACTGTTACTTTTTCAATGAAATAACTGTAACTAGTTACTTTTACAAAGTAACTTTCCCAATCTTGAATATAAGCTATTATATATGTAATGCATATTATATAAAATACATGAAAAATAATCGATATTTAGGTAAAATATATCATTAAAATTTTAATGTATGACGAAGCTTAATTAGAAAATACTTAAAAATATTAGTTTACAGATAATTTGATATAGTTATAAATAATATTATTTTACGCTACATAGTCTAAAACTAATTGTAAAGCGAAAATTTTGTTAGGAATGTGAAATATGTTTTTACCTTCTTGTCTTGTCTGTATATCTTAACTTTTTTCAGTTCTTGTTCCTTTCGAAACGAAATAATGACCTGATAAAGCATTAGCCTCGATATTTCTTTTGAAACTCGGGTCCACGTTGCCGAATCTTTAACTTGATGACTTGTTTATCTACATTTACATACACAAAATGATTAAATCATTAAAAAATTTGAAATAAAATTTTTAATATTATAAAGTTCTTCTTTAATTAGATGCATTGTTTAATTAGGAAGCTCTTATGATCCATATATCATCGAGAACTCAAATTTTTATATATTTATAATAGTATGTTTTATTTATAATATTTATAATAAAAGTGCTAACTTGAATATTGAATAAATGCTTATACATAAAAATTCATGCAAATGATTGAGGAGAGATACAAATTTCATCAGTCATAAAAAACACACGAACTTACCGTTAAAATTCACAATAACTTTCTCTTTTATTTGCTTATAACATATATTTGCAATTTGCATATCGCGGTCCATTCTATTGATTTATAATGTTTATATAACATATTTTATTGTTCCCAGTGTGCAGATGTTAAATGAGCTCTTAATTGATTCAGAGCGGTTTCCGACACACGATATACGGTATTACACAAGAAACACTTTGCATTAGTATTTTCTGTTATGTAAAAGAAAGAACGAAACACCATTTCCAGGTCGTCGAATCCTTGATTGAAGCAATTGATGTACTGTTGTTCGTGTTCCTTCTTTATATGGTCCACGAAATGGTTTAAGGTTCCGAAAACACGAAGTTTTATACCACAAGCACCGCATCTTGCACGTACGGTCTCCATCGTAAAATATTTCATTATCCAGTGCTCTTCTGGTGCCGCCATCGTCGATATGCGATGTCTCCTTGTACACCACTGAAGAGAATATTCGGTTGTATTTGAAGATTTTTTATTCACCTCGCAATATTTTCTCGAAGTGAATCGATTGGCCTAGTCAAAGTTGTTATCACAAATGAAGGAAGTTGATTTATTGTCCTTCTTAATGTGATATATTTCTACACCATATACTTATTTCCGTCGCAATATGTTACTATATTAGTATGACACTGTTCTACATCTGTCCTAGGTCTGTGAACTATGAGATCCTGCGCATTTTCCGAATACGTGACATTTTTCTATTGGTCAAGGGACGGGCTTTTGGGTCTCTGGAAGGGGAGAAGTTGAAGAATCCTATTGTATGTCTAGCTGTGCATAATATGGATCCGTCTTATGTTGTGCACGCTGGAAGCAAACAACACCGAAAATGGTCATAGTTTTTCCACAAAGTTCAAATCCGGACCTTTTCATTTCACTGCAATAAAATCTTTTCTCGCAAAAAAGATATATTTTTTGAATATATCCGCTTTGTGTGAAAATTGAGATTTTCTTGCTTTATATTTTTAGAAATATCTTGTTGTAAAACACCATTTATAGTAATTGGAGTTGCACAGTATTATGCTTTAATCTTTGGCGTATAGATTAAAAAAAGATTATTTACTGCCATGCAATACACAATCTGTAGTATACATAATAAAAAAATGCACAGGACACATACTGAAAAATGGTATATTTAAATAATTTTTTTTAGGAGTGATGCGCATTTTTTACTGAAAATCTATTATTTATTTATTATATATAGATGCTCTTTTTTTTCTTTCATCCTTTCCCGTCCTGCCCTCGCACTTTATTCTTTTTCTCTATTTCTTTTTTCTCTCTGCTGCATATCAACAATCATTACAAAATTCATTCTTTTTAAATATTATATCTTTCGAGAATCTATGAAAAGTGATATTGTTCTGTAAAAAATGTATCCAAGAAAAATAATGAAAATTTACAAAGTGTAAAATAAATTATTAAATTTGTATGTGCAAATTAACAAGTCTCAGAATTAAAATGTTAAATTTTGTTAAAATATTTGACTACTTCAAACAAAATTAATAAAATTAGGTAGGTACATACTAGCATGGATTCTAAATAAAGAAAAGTATTGAACACTCATTTTTATTGTTTTTATTTCTATGATAATTTAAAAAAATTTTTATGTTTGCTTTATCATCTTAACAATAATTTAAAAATTGATATATTTAAGCAGTATTTTGAAAAATAATTTGTATTTTTAATAAAAATACATATGTATTTATTGCATTCAAAATGCAATTGACCTCATCGTTTTTTCGCTCTGTCTCTTCATTATTAGTCTATCTTTTTTCTGCAATGTTAACATTTTAATTTTCTGATTTGCATAATATATTACAAAAATGTTTACCTATATGCAACTCAAAAAAATAAATAACTAATATGATAAATCTTCAATTTTTATAGATATTGTTTTTCTTTGTTATTTTATTCTCGTTGATCGGACAAATATGTGTGGTTAATAACGCCTGTGAACTATAGCGTTAGGTAGTAAATATAATTAAAAAGATCCATACTTAAAATTTCGATACATTTTTAAACTTTTTGTTACATTAGAAAAACATTAAGTATATAATTGAAGATATATAACATGTTTTCGGCATTATTATAAATAAAGTCAAATTGCTGCTATTATTGTATATATTAATAATAATGAGTTGAATAATCATTCTTTTTAACTTCAATGAGTACATTTCGACTGCTAAATTGAAATTTGCATCTGAAATATTCAATAAACTATATGTATATAAACTATATGTATTATAACTATTAAACCAAGAGACTCCATGTAGTAATGAGGATTAATTAATTTTCTTTACTGTGCATTCAATTATTAAAGATAACTTATAAAAAGTCATTATAACGTTAAAACTGATACTATTATTGCAAATGGTATAAATGTATGCAATTGCTTGCTATAGCACAAGATACATTACTGCGATTATACAAAATATTATATTATTAATGATAATGTATCGATTATATATATTTCTCTTCATACATTTATAGTATCACATAACAATAAATATATTTATTAGAACAAATTAAAATTTCATTTTTATGAAAAAATGTATATATACATTATTCGTGTTAGAGATCGTCCTTCTCTGATTGGATTACGATCTCGAGTGCGTTCGGTAATGACATCTTGCTGTCATTACGCCGTTAGGTGTCGCTATCTTTTGGGAACGGGACGTTCCCCTCTTCTTTTTTGTTTCACTAACGTTGTTACTGTCTGTACCCCGCGACTCGCGTGTGACTGTCTCGTAATTCTTTTCTATTCTTTCTTGTATCTTTGAGCCAGAGTAACAATTAAATAATCTTACTTGAGACTGAAACGCATTCGTTCTCTCGATTAAGTTGAGTACCTGTCCTACTGTCCCTCTCAACAGGTTATGGGCCCAGCACGCTTCCACTGCGATTAGTGTGATCGAAGTGGACATTTTTTCTTTTTTGTGTCTTCGTCCAAGCAACGTTACAATCCGGCAGAAATGATGAGCTCTACCCACGTTTCGCGATTTGAACCTCTTAATCGCGAAAATTACGACACGTGGAGGATTCATATGGAGGCGCTACTCATCAGAAACGACGAATGGGATTACGTGAACGGGACCTGCGTCAAACCCGAGCCCATCGAAAATAACGCCGAAAGAACCACCGCCATTGCAGCCTGGAACAAAGGCGACAGCAAAGCCAGGTCCGACATCGTCTTGTCAATCAGTGCATCGGAACTAAAACCGATCAAAGGATGCAGTACATCGCGAGAGGTCTGGTGTAAGCTACAATCCATATATCTATCTAAGGGACCGGCGAGGAAGGCGACTCTCCTAAAACAACTCATGTTACATCGAATGGAAGAGGGCGACGACGTGCGCGAACACATCGCGAAATTCTTCGACGCGGTCGATAAGTTAGGAGACATGGAGGTAAACGTAAACCCGGATGTGCTCGCGATCGCGCTGCTGTATAGTTTACCATCGAGTTACGAAAACTTCCGTGTCGCGATCGAGTCGCGCGACGAGTTACCCGACCCCGAGTCCCTCCGCATAAAAATCGTCGAGGAGCACGATGCTCATCGTAACGAACGTTCCGCGTCTAGTGCAATGTACATTAACAAAAAGAATCCGTTTTCGAAGAATCAACAAAGTGCGAAATCCGACAGCTCCGGAAACGACAAAGCACAATCTAAGAGGAAAAAGAGGTTACGATGCAATAAGTGCAAGATGTTCGGACATAAATCCCTGGAGTGCCGCAACAAGAGCGTCGCAAGCAACGAACCTACCAAAACGAGCGATCAGGTATCATTATGCGTGAGCCAGGCATTACTCGTTAGATCCGCGGGACGCGAGCAAAAGTGGTGTTTGGACAGCGGTGCTACTTCGCATCTGTGTAACGATTCCGCGTCTTTTTCGAGCATCGATCCTTCGAAACGCGGAAAACTTAACCTCGCAAATAACGAGTCCACTCAAATAGTCGCCGAGGGCATCGCGAGTTTAAAGGCGGACGTGTTCGGTACCACCGCGGACGTATCGTTGAAAAACGTCTTGTACGTCCCCGATTTGCGCACAAATCTTTTGTCTGTGGGAAAGATTACAGAACGAGGTTTCAAGGTCGTGTTCGACAAGAGCAGCGCCACCGTTCTAGATCGCGACGGAAAACTAAAAATCGTCGCGGACAAAATCGACGGACTGTACTTCGTGCGCGAGGGGTCGAGACCCGCGCGTGCTAAACCCGAAGAGGAGGTATCTCTAGCGGCTACATCTAAATCGAACATCTCGTGGCACCGACGTCTCGGACACCTCAACGCATCAGATCTTCGTGAAGCCGAGCGTAACGGAACCGTACACGGCATAACCCGAAAGGACCTAGGAGACGACGTCGAATGCGATGTGTGCGCAAAATCCAAAATGTGTCGAAGCCCCTTTCCTAAGAAATCAACGCGCGAATCAGAACTACTCGACTTAATTCATTCGGACGTGTGCGGCCCCATGTGCGTCGCATCCATCGGCGGAGCGAAATATTATGTCGAGTTTATTGACGACCATTCGCGCTGGTGCGAAGTACGTTTTCTTAAGACAAAAGACGAAGTGTTCAAGGCAACAATGGAATACATCGCTCTCGTCGAAAATCAAAGGAACCGAAAAATTAAATGCCTACAAACCGATAACGGCGGGGAATATCGGAGCAATAAACTCGAAGATTTTCTGAAATCACGCGGGATCGCGAGACGTTTCTCCGTGGCTTACAATCCGCAGCAAAACGGCGTCGCGGAACGTAAGAATCGTACCTTACTCGACACAGCGCGATGTCTCCTTATTCAGGCGGCTCTACCACCCCGTTTTTGGGCCGAGGCGGTAAACGCGGCGAATTATATTAGAAACCGTTGTCCGACGAAGAGTCTCAACGGCAAAACCCCTCACGAAATTTGGACCGGAAAAATTCCCGACGTCGGCCATCTTCGCGATTTCGGTAACCGCGTATTTTGCCTTGACACTAGACCCGACAAATCGAAGCTGGAACCTCGCGGCAAAGAGGGCATCCTAGTAGGCTTCTCTGAAGAATCCAAGGGCTACAGAGTCTGGCTGCCACAGGAGAAAACGGTTGTAATATCTAGAGACGTCAAGTTCTGCAACACGTCTCGTTCAGAAGCCGGCAAATTTCAAGAATTCCTACCGGAAGATTGCGACTTGAATCAACCCGCCGACAAGAACGAACTCGGACAGGATTACGTCGAAGTGACGCTGGACCCTCATATTGATAATATCAACGAGAATGGAGAACCAGCGGAGGATGACGAAGATCCGCCTGACATAGACGAGAATATTCCCAACGCAGAACTGCCAGCCATGAGACGAGGACCGGGAAGACCGAGGATCGTCAGAACCGGACAGCGCGGTCGGCCAAGAAAAGCATACAACGAGGTGGTGCAGCACGCTGATCTGGATTTGATGGAAAGCGCACTGGTCTCCGAAGTACCAATACGGCACGCGCTAGCGGGTGCCGACTCAGAACAGTGGTTCGAGGCCATGTCACAAGAGATTCAATCGATCATCAAAAACGACACTTGGGAGCTGGTCAATCGTCCGGAGGGCGCTCAAATTATAGGAAGCAGAATGGTCTTGCGTAACAAATTCGGACCCGACGGTCACTTGGAGCGGAGAAAGGCTCGGCTTGTAGCGCAAGGATTTGCGCAGAGACCGGGAATCCATTTTACGGATACCTTCGCACCCGTTGCCCGTCTAAGTTCTATCCGTTTGATTTCAGCTTTGGCCGCAAATTACAAGATGACCATAAAACAATTTGACGTAACCACCGCCTATCTCAACGGAGAACTAGAGGAGAAG